CTCGGCCTCCAGGATGCCAAGCTGTTTGAAAGTGTTCCAGTAGAGAATGTCGGACGAGCTTCCTTGATCAACCAGCGTCTTGCAGACGATGCAATTGTGGATCTCAACGCTAACTACCATCGGATTGTCTTGGTCTAGGTCGATGCCTTTGAAGTCGGCTTCGGTGAAGGTGAACGCTGGGATTCTTTAGTGATGGATGTTTTCGACGGCATGTACATCTCGGACGGCTCTCAAGTGTCATCTTTGAGCCAAGGAGGTCGAGCCACCACCTGCAAATCCGCCTGCAATGGTGTTAATAACTCTCCAGGGTTAGGCTGCTGGTTCCTCTTCTTTTTGTTCCCTGTAAGGGCGCCTCTCCGTTCACTCTCACTCGGGCTGATCATGATGGCGAGAACGTTCGATGTATCAGGACGAAGCGGGCCGATCCACAAAGCTTTGGAGTTGCTCTTGCTTAATCAAGTCCTAAATCTTGTCTTTCAGGGGTGTACACTCCTCGGTCGAGTGTCCTCGGTTGCGGTGGTACTTGCATGACTTAGTCATGTCGGCACGTGGGGGAGTTGAGGCTCTTTTAGGCATTGCCAAGACCTCAGATGCAAACGCCTGGTCTAGTATGACCGATTAGCTAGTATTCAACGGCATATAATGTGGGTATCTTGGCCTGCGAGGGGGTTTTTCATGGGGAAGAAGTTCCTTCTATCGGCTCTGATAATGGTTTTTGGTTAGTTTTTCAACCTTGGCAGTTGTTTCCATCCTGGCCTGGTTACGAAACTCGTCAAGTTCTTCCATTTGCATATACTTGTCGGCGCATCACCGTAAGTCGTCCATGTCGGTAGGTGGCTTCTTGCAGATACTGTTGGTGAAAGGTCCTGGTTTGAAGGCTATGGTAAGGTGGTGAAGGGCCATTACCGGGTTTAGGTCTCGGATTTCCAACACCACTTTGTTGAATCGGCTTATGAAAGTTTGAAGAGATTCATTCTTCTCTTGCTGAATACTTACCAAGGCCAGGGAGGTCAACTGATGGGGCCGACTAGTGGCGAATTGAATGGTGAATTGGGAGGCCAATGTGTTAAAAGAGTCGATCAAGTTGGCCAGAATTCGTGTGAAACAGCTTAATGCTCGTCCCTTCAAAGATGTCGGGAAAATCTAGCATAAAGCAGTGTCATCGGTCGTGTTGATGGTGACCTGAGTGAGGAAGACATTGACATGCTCATCGAGATCGGTTGTTCTGTCGTATTTGTCCAATGGAAGGGATTTCCAGTTGTCGAGTAGAGGAGACTGCATGATGCTCGGGGTGAACGAGTATCGATGTTCACCGATCGGGACAGTGTGGGCAGGTCGTCCAAGTGTCTAGACTATGGGGATGCTTTTGGGGGGGAACGTCGAGTCATGGGAAAGGGAGGTTTGGTGTCCAAGGGAATGAAAAGATCCATGCGTGTGCGTTCAGCTCGGCTTAGAAGGCCTCCACGAGGGGTCTTGGTTTTTTAACGCCGCGTTTTCCTCCCTGAGGGCGGCCATTTCCCTTGCATCTTTCTCCCTTTGCTGTTTCATGGCAACCATCTCCTCCTTTAATTGTTGCACAATCTCTGAGAGGTGGGTCTCATCGACCACCTCGACATGGTCTTCTTCAAACCAAGGAGGCTCTTCGACCGCAGAAGTCTTCCTTGTCGCTACCATTCTCGCTTGTTCTGCTCGTCTTCTCAAAGCTTTTGGTTCGGGCCCCACGGTGGGCGCCAAAATGTACCAGTCTAAGGGCACACTCGTAATCTTCTAGTAATATGGGGGCCAAACGAGAGCTTCAGGTGTTTGCTTTAGAGGGGGGAGGTACCTGCAAAAGGCACTCTAACGCTCAAGTCAGGACAAACACGAATCTTGATAGTAATAAATGAACAGTGCATACCTCGTTTTATGTGACCTATTTATATTACTTGTGATGGGCCCTGAACGTGGTGGGTCTCTTCTGACACTTACCAAATTAGGTAATACGGTGCTAATCAAATGGTTATGCATTAATCACGTGTTTGTCCTTGTTAGTCATGATTATCGTCTTAATCACTATTTGGTCTTATCGGCCGTTAGCCGAGCCAAGAGGTGTAAGATCGGGATTGCCCTTGGGTCTTGGCCTCTTGCAGAGGCGATACGTTGCTAAGAAGGCCAGCAAGTTATGTTGTCCTGGCCAAGCTTTCGATGGTCTAGTAGGTTCGTTATCACAACCACTGTCGTGTCCGAGAGTCATGTCAAACTAACTGAGTCTTCATGCTCTGGTCATATCGGCGGCCGAGATGACCGAGGCTAGTGCATTAACGACTTATGTCTCGGCCGTCTCAGTGGCCACTAGGATGTCACGTGTCGTTCCACGTGGTTGATAAGACCCTTCCAGTACAAAATCTATATATATAACAATAAATAAAAGGATACTCAACCCCACAATTGTTTTAGAATCTTCATCTTTTTAAGACACTTTTATTTCTAACTTTTCACACAAATATAATAAATATTTTTATTTCTACTCTATCTTTTTTTTTTATTTTTATCTTTTGTCTCATTTTTACATTTTTTTCTTAGACAACTATTTCTATTATTTTCTATTTACAATTATACTTACATATGCATTAAATATTTTGACTTCATTAATATATATAAGGGATATTAGGTGCGTACTAAACCTTAACTTTCTACACACTTGGATGTTATAGAAAATTAATTCACAAATTGAGAAGCATACAAAAGAGGTGTTTAGTTACCAACAAAGATGATGAATAAAAGGAGGAAGGTCATCAACAAAGTTTTGATAAGAAAAACATGTAATAACCTCTTTAAAGATTCTATTGTGTGTTGTAATTAAAAGTTGACTGATAAAGTTATTAATACATTCTTAAAGGTAAGTACCCTATTATATTTGTCTTATTATTCATAACTTATTACGCCTTAATAAATATTTTCTCATAAAATATGTTCTAATGCATTTGTATTTTTTTTAATAGTGAGTTTCTTTGTGTCTTGAAATTCTCTTTAAGGATTGCTAACCTTGATTTAATTTTGTGAGAGGAGAAACCTTAAATCAATGCATAGAGCATACTTGAGCAAAAACAAATTTTAGCAAAGTCGGTGAAGTTTGAATAACTGAGTTTAATTACTATTACGAGGACAAGTTTTGAACACCTTTTTAGTGGTGTCTACCCAAAGAAAGATGTGTGATGTGATCCTAATTAAAAGTAATGTTTTTTAATTGTCCTTTGGAACCAATAATTATAGAGATAAAAATGAGGAAGAAGGTATAATTAATAAAAGTAACACAATGCAAACATGAGATAAATGGGTCAAAAATTAATTGAACAAGAGAATTAAAATAAATTTTTCCAAAAAAGGAGAGAATTAAAATAACAAATAAAATAAAAAATATGAAATATATAGGAAAATGGAAAAGAAGGCCTCACATTGAAGAGAGTGATTAGCTAAGTAAGGAATCACAGCAAAGGTATGAAGACCTTTGATAAAATTCCAAAGGTTTTAATCCAAGAAGAAAAAAAGAGAAGTGAACGCTTAACTCACACTCTAATAACAACAATACTTCTATATTATTCAACTTGTCAAAAGATAGAGATTACATCTTTATTTGTAGAGTTGACTCTAAGTTGGCTAACCCTAATTCTCTTAATTATCTCCTAAAATTTGCCTAATCATTATAGGGAATAAAAATATAATCCAATTAATCTCTTTTGGGATATAATCAAAGTTTCACATTATTAAAACATAAGGATGAACATGAGTTTATAGACACAATTATCTTTATTGGTAAGAAATGACAAAAAATAAAATAATAAGAACTTAGTCTTAAAATAGATAATATTTTACCAATGTGAAAATAGTGTGGTAATTTACAATATAAAACAAGTTGCGTATGCATATCAATCTTCTAGAATGCAAACTCTAATTTTAAACATAATTAAATGTAATCCTAAAATAGAGATGAAATTCGTGTCTAACATCAACTAGAGACTTACAAGTTGGTGCCCCATAAGCCGTCACTTCCACTTGAATAAAAGTGTTGCATCTAGGTTTCTTCTTCTCCCATTTTGGGCTTCAGCATGTATGTGTTGATCACCACCTATAGGAGCTGCTTAGGTTTCTTTACTTTTCTCCTCATAGGTTCTCCTAACACAATCATTTGATCCTCTCCTTTATATCTTTCTCTCCTTGAAGGTCTTCTTTGATCTTCATCAAGTGCAAATGAGTTCATTACTATCTTTGGAGAGAGGTATCAAATATCAAATAATACTAAATCTAGATGTTTGATGAAACAACTAATGAATGATGAAGATAATGGTGTGAGGGAGTTGATTAAAAAGATGGTTCATATCCAAAACAAGTTGAAATTAGATGATATTGAGTTGAACGAAAAAATTAGTCTCATATGTCCTAAATTGCTTGTTTGCTAATTTCTCACATATTAAAGTTGTCCGTGCAAAATGGACTATCAATGTCCTCTTCTCTAATTTGCGGTAAAGGAAGAAAAATTTGATGCAAGTAATTCTATGTACCTATAAAAACAAATTTAATTGAATTGATTAATAAATTGTTAGTCTAAATGTTATTAATGTTTCGATTCGGATATTGTGAATAATAAATACATGGTTCAAAAGTGAAACTATATATAATAAAAGTAACCACAAAATTAAGTACTTTGATGGAGATCACTCATAACATGTTGAATTCATATTTAATACGAAATTTTTTATCTGTCAATAATATATATTTCTTATATTAACTGTACATAAAAAATAATTTAAAATATATATATATATATAAAATCCTTGTATAACTTCAATTATTTTTATATATATGTTTAGATTAATTGACCATTGGTGTCCATGGCAGCGGAAGTTTGTAGTTGAGGAAACTACCAGAGATTGAAACGGCTAAACTTGTGCAAAGCCTTCTCCTTTTTTAACCCTTTTTTGTTGCATCTTCTCTGTCTATTTTTCTCTCTCTTCTCACTTTGTTCAAAACTTTTTTCAGACCCTTTTTCTGGATTCTGTACATCTTTGTTAGTACATTGTGATTCAGATAACGGGCCTGCTTATTGCCATGCCATTTGAGGCCTAGTCAAATTAGCAGGGAGCTGGGTACATTTTTTCTTTTTTATAATTCAATCTTTTGAAATGCAATTTCTTTTTTAAACCCTTTGTTTTAATTATCATATAAACATGTTTAATTGAGTTCTTTGTTTGCCATTATTTTCATCTTCTAGCATGTTATCTAGTCTATATATGGTTGGTTACTCATACATTTTCCATTTGTATCATGTGCATCATGATAATGTAACTAGTTTGTTTTTATATAGTCTCCTCTTTTTTGTTTTTACATTTTGAAATTGCCAAAGAACCATCTTCAACAAAATAAATTGATGTAACTGTGCTGTTTCAGAAACATTTTATTATGAGAGACATGGCCCCTCTATATTGAAGAATTGACAATTAGATATTTTTCTTTTAAAATAAATTAATAGAGATAGTATCGGATTCTGTTTGGATCAAAATAATTAATTCACACGATTCAAACAAAAATGAATATTTGTGATTTTGTGCATGCAAGGCACCTAATACCTTTGTTATGTTGCATATTACGTGTACACTCTATTTGGATTTATATAAAAAATTTGTTGGAGGTGTTGCGAGTTTTTGGATTTTGGTTTTCATAAGCAGTTTTTAAAAGAAAATGTGTTTGGTGAAAATGGAGTTAAAATAGTTTTAACTCAATTTCAAAACATTTTTATATTCATTCTCAGAATCAGTAAAAAAACTGTTATGTGATTTAGTGAAATCTATTTTTCAGTTTTTGAAAAGATAAAGGTTTCATCATATTTGAAAATAATTGTTTTCATTGTTATTATTAGGATTGATGTTACTGTCATTATCACAATTATCATACTATTAATTCTATCATTATTTTCACCAAGTACCACTATTATTGTTATTGATATCAGATATTGGCATCATCAAATAGATTCTTAGTGCGTGTTTGCTTTAGATTTAGAAACGTGATTTTTCAATCTCTCTACGTTTACAAGCCAATTTATGTAAAAATTACAATTTTTTGCTTCTCAAAAACGTGAATTTTCACGTCCAAAAGCTAAAACAAACACGCACTTAAACTAATTGTAATAGTCTACAGAATTTTCAAAGTGAGTTTTTTTTTGTTTTTGAAAAACGTGCAAAGACATCATTATTAAGAAAGAAATCTTAACTATATGTTGTACCTCAAACTCTACCCATCATTTACGACACACTGATATAAGATTAAGATCCAACACAAACTTAGGGAGACATAAACCAAATCTCAAACGGAAAGGTGGTAATGAAAACCCAACTTGTTACGAAAGAGAGTTTGTTTAAAACTAAATAATAGAAAGAAAAATAAACTAAAAATTGGGTGTAATATTTAATTCTTCTTTTTGAAACTTACAACTAAAATCACTCCAAAATGCAACTTACAATGTACTCACAAAATTTCAAGTCTCGCAATATTTACTAATAGTAGAAAGGATGTTTAATGGAGTGTTTCTCGACATGGTTATTGAAGTTGTCTGTGTTCTGTCTAATTCAAGTTGGTTTCAGCTTTACTTAAACAATCATCTAGGTCTTATAGTGGATTTATAAAGTTAGTTGACTTGAACCAAATCCTTGTTTCAAGATATGGTTTTTTATTTGAGATTTTGGTTTTACAGAATATCCAGACCCTGAATTACTTGACACTGTTGGCTGATGGAATCTATATATATGAATGGATCTAATGTTGATATGAGAACTGGTGCTTCTACAAAAACAGGTGGAGGAGAACAATTCAACATAGAAAATAAACAAGTACCCTCTTCTTCACCCTTCTCATCAGAAGATTTCTTTGACTTTATGCCAAATGAAACAACCACTAGGACCAATGCTAGACCTCTAGGTGCAACCTCTCCTACACATGACCAAAACTTCTTACAATCTGAATTTCATCAAACACATTCAGTGGCCAATAAGGGAGATGGAAGGCCAATTAATAGTCATAGCCATGTGGAATCAGATCCTGCTAACCCTTTTTTTGAACTTGATCCTTCTCCATTGGCAAATAACATAGCCCCCTCTTCATCATCTCAAAACCCCTTCCTAATGACGACTGATGCCAACAACACTTCACATTTATTGCCTGCCATGCATCAAGAAAGTGGTGGCATGGCTAACAATGGTTTCCCTCCATCATTGGGACCATCTAGTTTTGAATCTTCACAAGGGAATCCCTTCAAACCGCCAACAACTTCAACCACCAAGAAAACTTCTGTTGGTGCAGCAGACTTGGTGAAAGGTGGTGAACATTATGATCTTGGAAATGAATCACATCATAGACTTCCACCTGCTGGACAAGATCATTGGAGCATGCCTAGTGGTGAAGAAAGGACACATCCTGTTAACACATATGGTGAAACTCATGTTTCCTCTTCAAGCCAACAATTAGATCCCTTCAAATTTGAATCACCACTTAACCGAAAACAAGCTGATGCAACTTCTAAGAACCATGCAGGTGCTACTACCATCCCAACAAGTGTTGAACAACCTCATCATACCTTTTCAGTTAGAGAACAAGGACATCATGCCAAGACTAGCAGCAATTCAGGAACAGATAACAGGTTTGGCTCATCATCAGTGCCATCATTTCCACCAGCTTATGAATCTTCAACTCAAGACTACATGCATAATTCTGCAAGTGCTACCACTAAACGGGGAAAGGATTCTAGGTCGGCTTCAGAATCCGGTGATGATGATATGCCAATCAGTTCTTTTCCTAGGCACGGACAACAAGCTAGCAATGGCTCAGAAAAACAAACTCCTCCACTACAGGTGATGGAGCGGTCAGAGGATACTACAAAATCTTCCAAGTACAGGTTTCCATCACATGTGTTTTCCAGAAAACAATCAAACACCCAATGGAGCACTGCCTCTAATGAATCATTGTTCAGCATTCAAATGGGAAACACAAGTTTCTCTAGTGACTTGGCTTGGATGAGTAAATCTGGTGACATAGATAGACCAGGTGACACAAACCCTTCTAGTGTGACTCCAAGCAATCAGCCACAAATCCCACTACCACTTCCACCCCCACCCCAAGCACCATCTACAAAATTCAATCATATCAGCCAAAGCACTGCCAATCAACATGAAGGTTCAAAAGTGACTGAAGAAAAGGCTGCTGAGACAATGAGAGAGGTTATAATGGAAAATAGCATAAACAATGAGAATATACGTAAAGGGGATTCAACAACTGCTGGTGGACCAACACGTGCTGATAGGCATGCTCACGTTCATTCCAGTTCTCACCGTTCAGATGGGAGCACCAAATCCTTTGCGTTTAATGTGTAAGCTCTGGCCACTAACTTCTTTTATATGTAAAATGCATGCTTGTTTCACTAACTATTCTATTTTCTATGTACTATTTAGCATAGGATAAAATTTAGATATATTACTATAGGTATTATTAGTGTTGTTCAATCAGAATTTTACATTAGTAATATGCATTAATTGACATTTAATAGAATTACTTGTTAAGTATATTACTGAGATGAAATTTCAATTCTAATTGCAGAACAACACTAACAATATCTATGGTACTGCATGTGAGTTTTATCCTTTAGTATATCATATCGGTGGTGTTTTTGGAAAGTGATTCTAGTATAGTTTTGTTTATAACAAAGTGAATAATTTTGACCTGGCAAGTGTAAAATTTTTAGCCCTTGAATTCATACTAAAAGAACTTTTCACACATGAATGTTATAGGACTCGCTTAAGCAAGCCAATCATGCGCTTAAGAGAGGTCTGCTCGCTCGAAGTGAGCTAAAATTTGCTTCAACAAACTGCTATCGAAACTCTGTCACAAGTTGCTTGAAGCGAGCTGAATTTGCTTAGAGCGAGTCTAAGGTCGCTTGAGTGAGCTATGATAATCCAAAACTCGATATTATACTATTCATAGGTTTCTAACCTTCACTTCACCATTCCTTAACACGTTCAATCCAAATCTAATCAATAAAATGTCAAATTATAACCTATTACTATAATTCATCAATTACTCAAATTCACATGCTCATTTCAATTATCCCATATTAACTCAATACACTCATTCCCTAGGGTTTTTAGAGGAACCCATGGTCAATCCAAGATTTACAAGATTAGTAATTACATATCATTTAACATACATACCAATTAACAACATCAATTAGAATACTAGAGAATCATATAAAACATAGAATTACAAGTCATGATTAGAAATTGAGATAACTCTTTCATACAACATGTACGACAAAGAAAGAGATTGAGGGTCAATCTTACTACCCAACATATATCTCATGTTCAGAGCAAGACTACTTACTCCCTTTTACCTTGATAAACACTCAACAATGAACGCAAGATTTTAGGGTGATTGCCTTATTGATCTTAGATAGTTCTTTAGTTTCTTTAGAGCATAAAAAGACATGTGTAAGCATGAAATACTAAAAGAATAACTTTTTATAAAAAAAAATGCTCCTTCACTCATTTTGTGACATCCTCTAGTTCACATGCATAATATAATAATTATAAAAAGAAAATATTACTCTTGAGTAACTTCAAACAAAGGTAAAGAGTATCCCATTTGAAATTCAAATAAACTAAACCAATGCCTAACTATAATAACTTTAAGGAAAGTAAACTAAAATTCCTAAAATAGAAAGCATGAAACATGATTCAATATCTCTGATATCACAAGTATCACAGCTCTCCCTTCAATCAATTAGACTCCTCCAAAAAGAAAGAATCCTACAACCACATATAAACATCCATAAGGAAAAATAGATGAGTGAACACATATTTCATTCCAACTACCGTGTAAAATAAGGTCGAGTAGCCACATACAAATATTATATATAAAACCAATAATTAAACTCCTCATAAATCCATACAATAATTTGAACTCAATTTATATCTCATTCAATCACGATATCAATCAAAACACAAGTTAAACACAAACAAAATGTTATGATCGTACATAAACTAGACTCTCCTAATCTATATGTATGTGGCGTCGTGAAAAACATTTTTCCCTACTCGAAGGATGAGTACTCTAGGAGGATGTGCCGAGTCAAGAATTCACAATGCTCTCACTAGAAGGATATACTAGAAGGATCTCGTTGGGATAGTTGAGTCACGCAAGATACGTCCACCCCATGCACATAATGGGCAAGACTGGGGCTTCCTTAGCCAAACTATCCTCAAGGACTATTTTCCAAGCTTTTACACTAGGAGGTTTTCCCTAGCGGTGTATTCAGTATCGTACCTATCACAAAACACAAATGCACATTAATTGTTGCATGTTTGAAAAGTGTACCAAACATTACTGTAGTAATAATATTATCGCCCTCAGGGATTGAATTTGTTGAATACTAAATTATTAACTTACGTTAATTTTGAGCAATCGAAAAACAGATGGAACAACGAACATAGAAAATTAACAAAAATTTACTCAATATTAAAATTGTTAGAGAATTGATTTCACATTCTTTCCTATAGATTCTTACCCTTTTCAATTGATGTAAGAATCGTAATTACCCACTTGAGTTTATTACTAGTTGTTTACCCGTAATCCCTTAGGCAAGTAAATCTATTCATTGAACCCTAATCCTCAATTCCTTAGGACAATTATGAAATTCAATAGAATCATGAAGAACAATATATATATATATATATATATATATATTCTATTTACTCACATAATTTTTAATAAAATTACTTTATTTAATAACTCATAATTTACATTCAATTAAATATTTTTAATAATATATATAATAATCATGATCTAATTAATTATGGTATTCAAAAAAATTATGAATGACTTTAATTGAAAAAAATATATATTACCTTGAAAAATTAAAATATCATTTATTAATTTTAAAATATTGAAAACTGTAGCAAAATATTCTTTTAAACGTAATCTCTTTAATTAGTTAAAATATATTAAAAATATAAAATTTAGCAAATCATTCTATTTAATAACTCTTTTTTCTTGAAATTATAATTTTTAATAAATAAAAAAAATTGTTAAAAAAATGTGTTAGAACAATACTTCACTTTTGAAACATATATACTAACTAAAAGTACCGTGAATTTCAGATAAAAGAGTATATTATTGTCATATCTACATCGAAAACCTTAATTAAATTAATGTTCTCTTGATTTAGTATTTATAATTTATGTTAGTTTTATACTGTGTGTTTTAATTATATTGTGCAATGTAATTTTGCAAATTGTTCTATTGATGTATTTGTGTCATATCAACTATCCATATCGGCTGTCACTTTTATGCTTTGTAATACACCACATGCTCCCATTTGAAGTCACATCTATATTCAATTTGACCCAATTGTCTTTAAGGAAGTGATAGCCAAAATAAAAGGTGCTAGGTTACCATATATTAATATCATTCGAACCTCCTATAATGTTAATCATGTTCATGCATGTGATGTGATTCTGGATAAGGGATGTTTGTTGATCAAAACTCTAATAAATAGCTTATTTTGATGAAAGATGAAGTTTTACTTATAATCAATATTTTGTTTTTGATCCACTTATAATCAACATGATAACAAATCAAGTTATAAGAGAAAAAGATAAATAATAATAATAATAATAATAATAATATATAATATCAACAATAATACTAATAAATTATTATTATTATTTGTGTAAAAATTATTTTTTTATTTTATACTTTTTCTAACTTGATATTATCATATTAACTACTAAGAGTTTATTTAATAAACGTCGAAGACAAGAACATGAAGGATGGAAATCTAGATGCCAATGAAGAAGATCATATAAGATAGATGGAAAAACAGAAAATGATGTATCCATTAACCTGACATTTCATATTTATATAATAAAAGAACTGACTTCACACTAAAATGCTAATTAAATAAGTGACGTACGTAAATGTGAAGAAATTTTTCTTATTAATATTTTGGTTTAAATATATTTTTAGTCCTTTAAATTTAAGATAAATTTATTTTTGGTCACTTAAATTTAAAATCGTTGTTTTTAGTTTTTGTAATTTTCAAAAATCTTATTTTAGTTCCTTAAATTACTAATAACATATCTGAAAGTAATAAATTAAGATGGTTATGCAATATGAATTGGATTTAATATAATATTTTCACTAACAGAGATACCAATAGATAGATTTTATGTAATAATATTTGATAAATTTTTTAACAAAATTTGAATATAAGGACTAAAATAAGAATTTTTGAAATTACAGGGACTAAAAACATCAATTTTAAATTTGAAGGACCAAAAATAAATTTACTCTAAATTTAAGTCTAATTTTTTTTATATTAAATATGGGATGTTAAGCTAATGGATAATTTAAAATTGCACTATTATAGTGAGAAATCTTTGGGTGTAGGTCTTTTTTAATAAAAGAAAATAGTGAGAAATCAAATTTTTAAAAAACATGAAGGGATGAAATTTGACAAATAATTATAGTAGAGAGTCTAAAGAGTAATCAAGCTTAAATTTTAATTAATAATAAAATTTATATTTAGAATAATGAGTTAAAAATAAATTATTACTTCTTTTGCAAAAGTTGGCTTATTTAACCTATTTGTCTTCATATATATTAAGGGTAAAGTGTCAAACTCTTCATCTAATTTAGGCAAAGTTGTTGCTCTAAATCGACTTTATTAAAATTATACGTACATTGGAACATTACAAAGTTTGACATCCCCATTATTGTTATCTATAACAATTGCATGCATGGTTTTGAAGATAAATAATTAGTTTGTTAGTTTAAATGTTTTTAGTTTTTTAAATATGAAAAAAATTTATTTTTGTCTCTTAAATTTAAAATTAATTTTATTAGTCATGTAATTTAAAAATTATTATTTTATTTTTTATACTTGAATGTCACTAGTGAATCTTTCAAACCAAATCCACTTATTACTAAATTTGTTATACAAATATTGTTTATCTTTATCAATAAAAAAAGTCATATTAAATCTAACTTATGATACATAATTATTTCAATTTATAAATTTTGATTATATTATTGGTGACCTTAAAGAACTAAAAAAAGATTTATTAAATTATAAAAATTAAAATATCAATTTTAAATTTAAAGAACCAAAATAAATTTATTTTAAATTTAAGAGAGTAAAAATATATTTAAATTTAGTTCTTTTTATCGAAAGTGTTGATAATAGAAGTGGTTTAATACTTGTATTGAATTAAGGTGTGTTTTTCACTTTGAATATTAATTTCAAATTGAAAGTATCACTTTATTCTTATAATAGATCCAATTTTCCATTAAAAGAAATTTAGTTTCTTTGTCTGTCCCATCTCCTTAATTTTTTTTTATTGTATTATACTCTCTAATCTATTTTTGAAAATTAATTTTTTTTATTGTATTATACTCTCTAATCTATTTTTGAAATTTTTTTTAGTTGTTGTTGGCCATCTTGACTTGATCCATTTCATAACATAGGGAACATGAATACATAGTGAATTCAGAAATAAATCTTATTATCATATCACTAGACCAAAATTACTGGGATTATGATGCTTCTTGATGGTGATTAAAGCTTTACCTGATGTTAAGTTTCTTGAGCAAATAATTGAACTGTTTTTGTGATGTGAAGAATGACAGATGGAGACAAAGCTCTTTCATCAAAGCATAGTGAAGACAAGAGAAAGCAGCAGAAACAGCCAGAGCAGCAAAATATTAAAGCAACACCAGATGTAGCAGCAGCTCAGAACCCCAAGCCAACCCCAAATGCTTCTAATCAGAACAAATCATGGCTATCTTGCTTTCCATGCTGTGGTTAGAACGCATTAAGTCACAATCCAATCACAGAGCCTCTTGGAATTTTCCAAAACCATTTTACTGTCTCTATCAGCTTGATGGTATTGTGATACATGCATTGCAGGATCGCTCTATCACCTTGATAGTTTAGTATCGTGCACATATTTTCTGATCAACTATGTACCATAATAGGATAGTTTGATACCCCTGTTGGTAGATAAACGAATCAACAGAAACAACCAAGGGTTCAGGGATTCTCTAGGAAGTTTTTTCCGATGGCACTTTAAAAGACTTGCAAAGTGTGGAAGCTCACAATTTTTCTCTGGCATGTTAACAATAGCAGTGGTTCCGTTTTGCTAATATATTCAATTATCATTTGGCACGTTTAAAGATGTAGCTAAAATCATTCACCAGAAGATCCACATAATGGTAATTAAATGGGGAGGAACCAATTTAGAAGTGTTAATGAATGGGTTTTAGGAATTCAATTGAATTATAAAATTAAAACTATTTGGATTGCTCTCTAATTATTAAAGGGTTAGTCTGATGTTTTGATGATTAAAAAGCTAGAAATGAGTTTTATATGAAAAATTCATTCTTCAAAAGATTTTTTTTTTTTTTTTAATGGTGCTGGTGGCATTCAATCCACTCTCCCAAAAGTTTCAAGTTTCACGGTTTAGATGTTGATTAATCACCATTATTTAGCTTCAAAATATTAGTTATTGGAGATCCTATTTCGATTAATAAAATAATTATAATAATATAAATAAATATAAAATAATTATCATTTTATAAACGGATTTTTGTAAGTTAGTTTTATAAAGTTAAATTAGATTATATAATTCACTTTCTCCAATCGTACAGATTACGTATTTAAGATGTCTAATTCAATAATCCACAACATAAAAAAAATTTAATTTTATAAAATTAAATTAAACTCATAATTTATTTCTTTTTAAGATTAGTTCTATATTTTTCATCTATAAGTAGGCAGTAATGAAAGCTATTTGATTACATGAACAAAACAGTACTCCTTACTTTTAATAAGGATGGAAAATTTGGCCAAAACTACTATTGAAATCAATTTATAATACTAAATGTCTCAGCAAGATTTTGGGTATATACTTAGATATTGATTCATACGTTATACAGGTGTATGAATAAATATATATTATATAATGTGAAAATATTATAAAAAGTTAAAAATTAAAAGTAAAGATTATATTAAATGTTAAAATTCGATAAGTCTAGAAAATTATTAAATTTATACGTAAACATATATTTATTAATCAAAATTATATTAATTATACAAATTATTTTTTAATTATATTTAGATATGATATAATTTAGAGTTGTTATATAATGAATGATGAATTATTTGAAATTGAAGTATAATGTTAAATTATGCATGAGTTTTTTAAATTTAAATATATTTTAAAAGTATAAATTTAAATTATATTTTAAATTTATTAATTAATTTAAATATATGCATAGATTGTCAAATATTGAAGAAAATAATGATAAAATTAAAATTTGTATGGAACATTTTAATTACAAATATTAATTTATACAATCATGTCATAAAAAAAATAATTGATATTCATGATGAAATGTTATTATAATTTGTAATTAATAATAAATAATTTTAAATTATAATTAATTATAGTAGTTATAATTTGTAATTTAAACAATCATGTCATGATTGATAGTGATAGAAATGTTGTTACAATTTGTAATTAATAAAATAATTTTAAATCGTTATTCATCATAAGTTATTATTGATAATTAATTTGTAATTAAGAGATATTGATTATAATTTAATTTAGAAAATAAAGAAAAATGATAATTCATTTTATTTATTGATAACTTGACATTTTTTTTATTTATAATTCTATATCATCTTTTTGTGTAATGTGAATTTTTTACACAAATAATACTATTTTAAAAAAATTTACCCAAATAGCAATTGTGCAAATTTATTTTTTTAACTAGCATCATTTACTATTCACGTTCAGAACGGGTCGTTCTGAAATCAGAACGAGTCATTCCGGATTAAAAAATAACACATGGAAAACAGATCAGAACGGACCATTCTAAAATCAAAATTAGCACATAAAAAGTGGGACCAGAACGGGTTGTTCTGCATCTAGAACGGGCCGCTCTGCCTTATAAATAAATAAAAAATTGGTTTGATTTTCACTTATCAAATACCAAAACTCATAGACTACCATCAAGTGATTAAATTTATTGAATATTAACATTATAAATATAACTAAATAAATTGATTAAAATTCATTACAACAATAAAGATTAATGGTGGCAGAAACTGAAATCATGACCAATATTTGGATATGTCTTCCTAGTGAGACCAGGGGTGTGACAATAGGAACAATTTTTTACACGATTATGTTGTTCTCTAATGTCAATCTCTGTTCTAATCCTGCTAGACTTTGGCTGATCCTTGAAAGTTCTCTTGAGTTCTGGATTTTGCCACAAAGTTGAAAGAAACGCAACATCCAAGAAAAGTTTGACCCGATGGGAGATTTACAATAAGGCTAAATGAAATGTGGTATGATTGCAACAAGTTCCAGAAAGGTATACGAAGGATAGTTTGGAGAGCTCCGACATGAAGGTTATGAGCCTACTTACACTGGTCCAACTTTGTGGTCAAATCTAGAACTCAAGCGAACTTTCAAGGGTTGGCCAAAGTCCAGCAGGATTAAAACAGAGATGGACATTAGAGAACAACATAATTAGTTTCTGCCACCATTAATCTTTATTGTTGTATTGAATTTTAATAAATTTATTTAGATATATTTATAATGTTAATATTCAATAAATTTAATTATTTGATGTTAGTTTCTGAGTTTTGATATTTGATAAGTGAAAATTGAAGGAAAAAAATTATTTGTAGGTCAGAACAACCCGTTCTGCTTGTAGAACGGCCCGTTCTGGTTCCACTTTTTATGTGCTAATTTTGATTTTGAACGGCTCGTTCTGATCCGTTTTTCATGTGTTATTTTTTAATCCGAAACGGCCCATTCTGATTTCAGAACGGCCCGTTCCGAACGTGAACCGTAAATGGTGCTAGTTGGGAAAATAAATTTGCACAGTTGCTATTTGGGTAAAAAAATTTTAAAATAGTATTATTTGAGTAAAAAAACTTGTGTAATGTCTCATTTGATGTCTTTAGTATTGCACATTTCCTCCTCAAAGAAAAAAGAAGTTTAGAAGAATTTAAAAGAGAAGAAAATGACAATAGATATTAGATAAAGACTAAAAAAATGACTTTTATTTAGAATGAAGAAAAATAAGAGGTAACTGTTGGATCCTTAATCCAACGTTGGCCTTATATGTGAATAATTATATATTAAAGACACATAATGCCAAATTAAAGTGATCTAATGATGTATAAATTATTTTGGCAGTTATGTATCTGAAAGGTTATGGGACCTTTAATGTGTGGTAACTAAAGGGTAATTCTATTTTGTGATGTGTTAAAATAGAAATACCAAAAGACTTTATGAATGGTAAGTACATTTGGTGTCCACTACGAGACAAAGTCGAATTTGATAGTTCCTTTTGAAACTTTTTTTGATAAGGAGTTTGATCCTCTATCATTCATGGACTGGATTGCTTTATCTTTGGCCAATGTGAAGACTTTAAAGAAGGTAAGTCTTGAGGTGGCTCTTGCTTATTTCTATAATCCCTAGGCTTGGTCTTGGATAAGGATGACAATGGATAGCTAGGATTTGCATAGGGTCCTATAGTACCCGTCCTCATATCCGCGTTTAAAAATAATACCTGTGCCCAACCCTATACTCGCACATGTAGAAATTAAATCCCCATCCCGATGTCCGTTGGGTACACAATGACTTATATTTTACTTATGTATAAAGTAAATAAATCAATGGAGAGACATTTCACATAAGTAAACATAATATTAATTTTTTAGATCTTTAACATTACAAAATAAGTAAAAGATTATTAAACATTCAATTATTGTAAATAAACTTTTAAAAAAAATTCAATATAATAAAAGTTGTAATTAAACGTCCAACATCATGATCATGTGTTAACAATATTCTCTAAGACCTGTGAAAATAATTATACAAAAATTAATTAGATTAAATTACATACTATAAATTTCAAAAAAAAAATTATGTAGACATTTGACCTCATCATTAGAATCAACTTCTCCATATTTTTGCAAATGTTTGTTGTAACGTAGTAAGTTAATTGTTTAGAGTTTAGTTAACTCTAGAGAGAAGGATATATAAGGTTTTATTTGAGAACGAAACCTAATAAGCTCATCTTTAAAGAAAATCTAGAGAGAAGTTTTAGAGAGAAGGACTATGGGTCCGTGAGCTTTTTTTTCTCCCAAATTTCTCTGCTTGATTCCTTTTTTCTTCTAGATCATTAATCTCTTCTGTCTTTTCTTTAAATTTAAGCTAGAAAGCTTGATTTTGGAAGATTGAAGTCTACGGGTCGACTATTCAGAAATTTTTCTTCTTCTTCCTCTTCTTGACTGTTCTGAGCCAATTTTCAGGTAAGGGAAGCTAGGATTGTGATAATTTGGTTGCATGTGAGTTTAGAAACTCAATTTATGCATGAATTGGAGGTTGATTTGCTTATTTGAGGGATTTTTCCATTTTTTGGGTTTTCGAGCTAAAACGGGGTTTTGGCTGATTTGATGCATCGGATGAGTGCATATTGTTTCTAGAACTTGAATTGAACTATTTTTGGTGCATGGATGTTATCTCTTCCATTGCATGTGAGTTTTTTCTGAGTTTCAGGTGTGGAGGTCCAAAAATGGTGAAAAACATGGTGCCTCTATCATCAAATGGTTGAGCCGTTTTAAAGGAGAGTAAAAATATATTTAAATTTAGTTCTTTTTATCGAAAGTGTTGATAATAGAAGTGGTTTAATACTTGTATTGAATTAAGGTGTGTTTTTCACTTTGAATATTAATTTCAAATTGAAAGTATCACTTTATTCTTATAATAGATCCAATTTTCCATTAAAAGAAATTTAGTTTCTTTGTCTGTCCCATCTCCTTAATTTTTTTTTATTGTATTATACTCTCTAATCTATTTTTGAAAATTAATTTTTTTTATTGTATTATACTCTCTAATCTATTTTTGAAATTTTTTTTATACTTCTCAAATTGAGAATGTAATTCATCGTTATATATTAAAATAACAAGAAGAAAAATAAACACCATGTACATATCGTTGTATAATTGAGATTTAAAATTGAAACTGTACCAAATAGGTACCAAAATCCTACTAACATCGTGTAAACTCGAAGACTACTCAACCCTACCTATGTCGATAAGTTTTCAACTATCTATGAAGGAA